TTACAGATTTATTTTCTGAAGAAAAGAGTTCCTTACAAGTATAGCAAAGAAGTTAGATTTTTCTTTTTTATGGAGGGAAAAGGAATTAATGCATCTGAAATGCATATTCATTAAGCAAGCTCTGTTTTGTATGAAGTGGTAGCTTTAAGAATCACTTCTGATTAATTGCAAAGGCTAATGAAATTAGCAGGCCTTCTCACATGTTTCAAATTAAATATAAGATCAAGTGACGGGCTGGATCTGACAGGCCATACTCCTCAGTAGATCCAGAAAAACATTTTTAGCTCATTTTTTTTGTTCCTGAGAATAAATGTAAAGCCTAGTGAAGGATTTTATGAGTTCATTTCTGGTTTAACTTATTGCTAATGCAAAACCCGAATATTAACCAGATAAAAGTGTTTTGTCTTTTTTTTTTTTTTTTTTTGGTGGGGGGAAGGGTATGTGTGGATGTGTGGACAAAACAATTTTTCATTTAGAAATCTTAATTTGTAACTTTGACATATAAAAAAGCACTTGAAAATTTAGCACTTTGGATCACAGGAACTTTTTGTCTAACTTTGTCAGACATGAAATGAAATTTTCCAGACTATTTGGTTCCTACAATTGTTTAGGCAGCTCAAAATGGCTTTTCTGCTTCAATTTTACAGGGTAGTCAGGAAATTTGTTGTTTTCCTTTGTCCAACTTTCCTCTTTATCTGGAAAGTCTGGCTTTGAATATTAGGAACTTGATGCTATTTAACAGTGTTCATAATTTAAACTTCTTGGATCTTTTTCAGGTAGTTCAGACCTTGAAAAAGCAAGCTTTTGCACTATTACAAATAAACTCCAGTTGACTCACCTTCTCCAGCTTCAGCATCTGTCACTGAAATAAACATTACACAAAATTACATTTTATTTACCTACCTGTCTTCCAATACCATGAAAGAAACAATAGGTGTTGCTCTGAACTGCAGAGTAGTATCCAAATTCAACATTAGCAACTTCTTCCTCTCAAAAAATAAAGTCATAAGCAACAGTAAAGAATTTACATTATACTTCCTACAGATAGTGTTCTTCCCTCACAAGCTCTTTGCGCCTGGCAAGATGCCCCAATCACCAGCCTATGAAATTCACAGACACTCATTCCTGCTACCACCAAGTAACTTAACTGTTTTATTTTGGCTGAGGAGAGTGACTTTCCAGCTGGACAACAGTCTGCAGCACTTTACATATACCGGAATGCAACACATAACAATGTTTAAAAAATTAAAATAAAAATGAAGCTACTGAAAACATTGGCTTGGTACCCACAACTTACAGTAGCTTGTTTTGTTGGAGGTTATAATCTATGGACAGAAACAAGAATACACGGGGTAACTCCCCTGATATTTTTGAGATGTGAAGAAGAAACTACCCAGGGTAAAAATGGCTCATGCAAAAATACCAGACCTCTGCACTGTCACACAGGAGCATCTTTGCTGATCCTCCTGTGTGTGTAACAACAGAGGCACCACCAGACCACCTAAACTGATACCTGGTCATCTTTTCCTGCCTCATTATTCAAATCAGCCACCCTAGAAATTCATCTTTTCAACTTCTGTGTTAGATACAGGTCTCTTATTTTATATAAGGCCTGGTACAACACACTGAAGCCTACAATACTGCTTAATCTTTTTTCAGCCTTCTGTGGTTTGTGAGACCTCATAGTCCCTTTCCACCGTTTTTACATGCTTCTTTTTGCCCAGTTACTTACATTGTGTAAGTTACTGATTTTATAGTCTTTACATTTACAAAGCAGCCTCATTCCTTCTTCTCTGTTCATAAACCTGGAGCAGCTGCTGCTTTCCAGTCCCAGAAGAGCATCCTGCTCCCAGAAATTCTGTTTTTTTCACCTAAAACCAGCAGAACGCCCATTCTTGGAGTACTTCCCTTCTCTCTCTGTCCAGGGCTGTGAGGCCTAGGCATGCCTCCTCACTGGACAAAGAGGAAGTCTCTGTGCACTTCTCCTTCTAACCTTCCCCTCTCCTGGCATGTTGAACGCCTGCTCTGCTACCGAAGAATAGCTGGTAGTAAGGTTGATAGTGGTTAGCAATCGTGACATGACTACTGTGATGTTAGAGGCCATATGGAAATAACAGTTAAGATCCGTTGTCTGCCACTCAAGTCCCAATATCTTCATCCGTTCTCATTTGGCTGAGAATTTTTCTTTGGCCTCTTCCTCAAAATATACTTTTGTGACACTCCCATAAAACCACAAAAGAACGGTCAAGAAGGGCCAGAAAGAAGGAACTTGCCCCACCCCTGCCATCAAGCCCTGACAAAAGCCAGAAACTGTAGAGAGAAATCAGAAGAATGAATGAACAGATTACTAAATGCAAACCCTCAGTTCACTTGTTTGCAACTTATTGCTCATATGAGTACTTTGTTCAATCTCAATAGTAAGTTCCTTGGTGTAGAGTCCTCATTTACAGATGTGATTTTGGAAACCAGTGATTCTGTAAAATGCTTGACTAGCTGAGGAAGACATTAAAAAAAGCCTGTGATTTTTATGGAAGCCTGAGCATGTGTCTTCTGGAAATCAGACTCCTCTAAGAATTCATATTTTCCAGTCTCTCTGTCATTCTGGCAAGCTCCTGGACAGGTTGTGGAGTTTCTTTCAGGAGAAGATTTTAAAATGCAGTTAAATTGGGAATGGGAATGGTCTGGATATAAACAATTCTAGTAGTTTTTTCCAAAGCAAGGCTTCTGTCTTTTTTTGTGAGATGATTGCTAGAACTCCCTCGGAAATCTCATCCTTAATTTCTTTACTATTTTTCAAATTTTGCACAATGTCTGCAAAACACAAGAATTTTGTAGATAACAACTCAAAAACTAGACAACATAATTATCGGAGGCAAAAAGAAATTCTGGAAATGATGACCTCATTCATGAATCTGATCCTAATCATCTGCAGTAACAAATAAAGTTCTGAGAAGAAAACAAAGTGATGGCTGAGAGATAATTTAACAACAGCTACAAACAAAAATGGTTTAACAACAGTAAAAACCAACCAAAAAAAACCCCAACCCCAAAAAAGGAAGTAGAGCTAAAACAATCTCTATTCAAAATTCTGTCCCACAACAAGTCTCAGTAGAGCCTTTGGGACTGTGGTCCCCACATTTCAGTCAGCCCTGTTTTTCATGAAAAATTTAGATCTGAAGATTCATTGAGTTCTTGACTGTTCTTAGCATCCTGGCTTTTGTTTTTGCTTTCATGCTTTTACCCAACACCTCAGCAGTTAGATCATCCCTTTGGGGCTTGAAAAACCTGGGGGTTTTGCCTCACTTTGTCCAACAGAATTCTAACTTAAACGGTCTCTCCAAAAATTTCTGGAGGGTCCCTTGGGGAAATCTGGGATGAGAGAAGCCTCTGAATATTTCCATGGAAACCGTTCCATTTTTAACGAAATAATTAAATACTTGTTAAGTTGTTGGCCTTGAGGTTAGGGAACTTGCCTGGAAGCAGAGAGATGAATCTTTTGGACTACTCTGATTAATACTTCAGTATTTTATGTTCAACTGAGCAGGGAATAGATTTCTAGCGTTCTCCTTCCAAGTGAGCCTTACTTTAAAGTCCCATTCACACACTTCTTTACTTGGTTTTCTCCTATACATGCCACCCCAACCTAGGTGAGGGGTATGAATACAACATAACTCTAGGGAAAGCTGGAATTTTGTGCTCAACATGTCCTGTTGCCCAGCTTCATTGCCTCTCCAAGCACTATGTCAGACTTTGCAAAGCCTATTCTGTGCCCAGGTCTCCCCACACAGCCTTGGTAACTAAATGGAGTCTGGTCAATTGGTTATTTATAAGTTCTTTCTGTGGATTTGATCTCTGATTCTTTTCTTATTCTTTATGAAATTCATAGTCAACTAAAAACAAATCTATCTGCCAATGGTAGCAGGACATGGAAAGCATTTTGCTGTAGCAAGAAATGTATACAGACTGGAAGCTGTGAGGTACCTTCTGCAGGACCTCAATTGGTCTAAACTTAGGAACAAAAGTTAGGTTTAGATGTATATAATTCTTCGTCCTGTCAATGCATGTCAGTCACATTGTTTGAGGTGATTTAAATTCAGTATGTAAAAAATGCATTAACATTCTTTGTACATTCTTTCCTGGGGTTTCCCCGATTGCTGAAATAGCCTCCACACTACCATCTTCTGCAGGAATTTTTCCAGAGGCAAAGAATTCAGATTGACTTTTTCTAGTAAAACTACAAATAGTTTTTTCTTCTTTTTTTCCTCTCAAAGACAGGCAACCAACTGTATCTTCAATGGGTGCAGAATAAAAAGCTACTAAAGATTGTTTACATGCTTTTTTTGACCCCACAGGTCGTGTAAGATGATGGAATCATCCTTCATACTTTTTTTTTAAAATAATATATATATTAGATTACATTGCAGTGGTTGACAATGTTAATATTAACACTATTGTAGATGCAGATGTCATGAGATGCAAAATCATTCAGCACTAGATATTCTAAGTATCCAAAATATACACCGGCTGCAAGAAATCTAAACAAAGTCTAAATAAAGTCTTCCTTTAACAACTGTTGATATGGACAAGGCAAAAGGACCTTAGGTATTTGCAAAATGTTGAAGTTGTACCCATCTGACTGAAACGCCCCTGCAGAGCTACTTTGAACTTCCTGGAAAAACAGAGAGGATATGAGTATGAATTAATATGTTACTTCATTTGGCATCTCATGGGAATCTGATACCTGGGGAACATTAGGCCAAAAACAATAATACAGTCTCTTTCATCCAGTACTATCTAGTTTATAGTGTTGCTTACAGGTTATGATGTTGAATTTAATTACAATGCAATAATAAATTACCTGTCAAACAATAATTTTAATTGTCCTTCCCTGAAGCCGGTGTTCCTTGCAGCTGTGTAAAGCCAAACAGTTTGAGCAATTTGACTCTTGTCCTTGGATATCTGGGAAGTTTCTGTTTACTAAGAGTTTCAGTTCCCCCTCAAAGAAATGCACTAAATTTCTTGGGTCAAAACAACAATCAGTATGCCATCATTGCGGTCCCCATGGGGGATATATCTAGGATGCCGCAAAGCTGAGAAATAAAGAACTTTGACTGAGAATGAAAGTGATGACTCGCAACAGATTCTACCCCATTTTCTGTCTTACCCTGTTTACAAACATTTTTCAAAATTTTCTAAGAAAGCAAACCAAATAATGTTTCAATGGTGCTCATACTGTGAAAACCGAGGCGCTAAATTACTTTCAATCTTCAGAACAACACGGAAAAAAAGTCCAAAAAAGCAGGTCTTACCCTCCCTTTTCTTTTTTACCATTTCTTCAGTGATTCTTCCAGCTCCCACTATCTGGTACTGGTTAATCAGGACTTTGCAGAAGTTTAATCTTAGATCTGTGTGTTGCTAGCAGTTAAAGACTGATTTTCAGAGAAAGGGATGATCTTCATTTCACCTGGGGAAGAATGCAATAACAATTAAAACTTAAAAAATTTGTCTAGTTCATTATTAACATTGTGACTCTGAGGTGAGCCACCAATTATATAGAAGATTCACAACAAAGAATAAAGAGGTGGTAGATGAGGAGGATGGGTGCAAAACCCAGAATAGGATTACTACGTGTGTCGTTATGTTCAAGCTGAAGCCAATTAGACCTTAACATGTGCCAAATCGCATTGAAAAATTATCCTTTCTGAATGGGAAAATTCACTGTAGACAAAAAAACAGAAAAACACAGCCTCTTGTTAGGTTGAAGTGTCTCTAGATTTTTGACTGTTGCAGGAGAAATGGTACAGCAGGTTTGGAAGTGAACGTTGAATGCATCAAACTAACCAGTTATAGAAAAAAGCATTTTCAAAAAAAATTGCTGAAGCATATGACAGGAATATTTGGCCACATCACTTTTTTTCATACCACATTTAAGTGAACACTGAATCTTGGAACAAACCCAGTCATCTGAAGGCAAAGAGTTCCATGGCAGTGTTCTAATCATCAATCTGTTTAATCTTTTTTTTTTCTTTTTCTTTTTTTTTAAGATCAGGACATTTCTGTCTGCAAGTTGACCCATTCCCTAAGCATATATACATGTCACTTAAGGATTTAACAGTCAGAGACACTTAGAGACTGTCCAGATCTCTTTCTGACAGTTCAAGAGACAACTTCAAGAGGCTGAAATACTACTGGGATTTTAAATGTGTGTGCAAAGAGTCTGCACTTCTTTAGCTAGTTAAAGCGGTTTGTTTCTACAATTTCATATGCATTAAAAATAAATGTATAGCAAGTAATATTTTAAAGTAACTTTCTGTTATACTCCTGGCATCATCTCCAAAACAGTTGTATGTCTTAATGACATTCCATTTATTTAACTGCTTTTCTCATTAAAAACACTGCCCTGATTGCTTAATGTTTGACTCTAGATTATACAGATCTGCCTGTTCTGAACAGATGAAAACCCAGGGCAGAGCAGCAGCCCCAGAGAAGGGAAGTTCCCTGCTAAGAGTTTATCAAGTTGAGGAACAATGTGCATTGCCTGATGCACTTATTATCCAGGAAGTTACTCATCACTGTAAGTTATTCTTACTGAAAATACGAAAATAATTTCCAGTACTTCATCCAAGAAACTGTGTTCTTCAACTAACAGTGGGTCCAGCGTTATTAAAGTGGCCATGCATGCATATGGAGGTTTTTTAAAATTAAATTAAACACAAAAGTGATGAAGTGTTTTTCATTTCATTTCATTTCATTTAGCCGGAAAGCAGATTTTACCAGTGCCCCAAATGGGTTTGTTACAACACAGTCCAGATCTATGCACTTTGAGACCCTAAGTCCTTGTTCTTTCCTCTCTTCATAAAGCTGGTGTAACTAAGGCTTCATACTCTGAGGGCAGGACCCTGATCTAAGAAAGAGTGGAAAAAATGGAAAAAAAGAGTTTCCTTATACTCCCACTATGAGAAAGCTGTTTGCATGTCAGCTCTCCCCTGGCTAAAATTTGGGTTTTGTCCTTGCAGGAAAGATCTTAGGCACGAACAAAAATCAGCACCCCATACTGTGAAAAGCCTTTCAGGGTACTCTTCCCCACTTGTGTCAAAGAATGGTGAGGATGTGAAGGCCCTGGGGTCTTCAGCAGCTCTCTGAAATCCTGCAGTGATGGTGCCAATAAAGAGCTCCCATCTGCACTTGTCCCAGGAGGAGGGCCCTTAGGGGTGGTTTAGGAGCACAACATAGACCCAGCCGTAACGCTCCAAGAGTAGCTGCCAGGTGGAAATGCCCCCCTAGGACATGCATGCAAGGCTTTCTCTGTGAAAGGTCCCATGTGCTCCCAATTTCCAGAAGAACCTCGTTGCGCTGAGGCTCAGGGGGAAGAAGAGGTGCTGCCAGACCCCTAGAGCACTCTGAGCATCTCAAAATGGCACCCTGACTCTTTGGGTCTCTGCTGCATTTTGCAAGATGTGCATCCCGAGGTTGGTATGCTCAGCAAAGCCTATTTATCCACAGAGCACCCTCTATGTGTCCTGTTTCTTGCTTCAGGAGGCTCTGCTTTGTTGCACAAGACTGGGCACTGTGACACAAAATCATAACTTCACATACTCTTGACTGATGCTGATACAAGCAAATTCAAGGAGGTGATCAATAAATAGAGATTACAGATTAATGCCTCATTTTCTGACTTTAGTCCGTTCATGGACCACTCTAGTGCAAAGATCAGAGTTAAAATATGGTTCAATATGTTGCCTTTTGGTCTCAGTGATCTGCGGACCAGGAAGACATGAATAACACACTGAGATTGGAGTGGTATAATAATACAAACAGTTCAGTGATGTACCAGGTGTTGCCTGAAGGCACCAACTTTCAGGTAAGACCTTCAGCACTTTATCTGAGCTCTAGTGTTTTGTAGAGAAATGATCACACTGCATTTTTGAAAAGAGCACAGGGACAACCCCAGGTTTCTAACATTCACTTTCTTAACACATAATATAACATGCAAGACTGTTACTGACTGAAGCTTGGCTGTTAATGTTTGCCTACATAGTCACTGTACTTACCAGCACCTAATTCATCTGAAAGCAGTCTTTAGGATTTTGTGAGAGATGTTAAATAAAACTAAATTACATTTTTTCATTCTGTCTCACATATAAATCTCCATAACCATAAACCAACCCTGTGTGCGCAGTTCGAACACAAGTTTTGCTTCTGAGTAGTTTTAAATGAGAGTTTTTCACATCCTTATTTAGATGTGGTATCATTTCTGCATCAGCATTAATAACATACTCAAAAGGACTGGAAGTTTTGCAAAAAAATTCAGCCCTGTATATGAATAAGTAATGCAGCTTTCAGGTGTGCTTCTTTTGCAGCACTTTCCTGAGCGCATGCGCCTCGGTGTAAAGCAGAGGCATGCTGGCAGCAGAGCTTCCCATCCATGCTAGTGTTTTTGTCTAACTTTGTTATCATCAGACACAAATGTCACTTCTTCAAGCAGCATTGGTTTAATTCCTCTGGAGCCTGTAGGCTGTTCTCTGCAGAATGCAATCTCACTTTGAGGCTTAATTATTTTAAGAGTTTGGAGAACAAAAGGATCTTGACAGCAAGATAAGTATGAGCTCAGGGAACCAGGGGTCCTAGTCTGAGCCACTTTCCTTTGCCAATTACAGATTTGGTGAAAACCAGATTTAATTCCTACGTTTTATCTGCATTATCTTTGTAATATCTGACAGAGACAGAATCTTTGAATGCAAAGTCAAATAAAGAGGTCTATGTGCTGAGTTAAAAGTTTGCTGGGAAAACTAATATAAATGAGTAAGGCCACCAAATGCCTATGCAAAACTGCAGTAATATACAAAAAGGAGTAAGGGGTGGTGTTTTGAGAATGGGATGTGTTTGCCATTTACCCAACCATTTATTATACAGATGATTTTAATTTGGTTGGTGTCTTCCCTAACCAGACCTTTCATTTTCCTGAACAAAAATCTGAGTCATGCAAATCACATATATATGCATAATATATAGACTGGTCATTAACTGCAAATCCAACTTGTGCCAAATTTTGTGTATCGGTTCATTTTAACTTCTTTTTTTTTTAATATTGCACACATTTTTTTCATAATAGAAAAAACCCCAAACCTTCAGTATTGATGTAGAACATCAAACAAGCTCAGAGTTTTCAATGTGAGAATATATTGGCCTAAGAGTATCACTACTCAGTTATTATTTGTCTCCAAAAATTGCAAGCAATAAAGCTGGGCATAAAATAATGCCAACTGCAATCTGTCTCAGATTATTTTTGGTAGTCGCATAAAGTGTTAGAATTTTAGAAAAAAATAAGAAGATAAACTTATAGTATGTTTATTGATTTTCCTGGAAAACAGGATATATGCGTAGATTATAAAATAAAAATTATAAATAGTAGTCTGTAATCAGATATAATGTCTTATTTCAGCGTACAAATAGGTTGGAATACCTGAGAAATTGCTTATAAGTGTTGCTAACTTTTCAGCATGGTAACTTGCTATGTGAGAAATGTTCACAGTAACAAAATTCTTAAAGAGATCAAAAAAGAACAGAGATTCTGTAGAAACAATGGACCAAATATATCTCAGGGATAACCCCACTGAGATCAGTGGAATTGCACTAGGGATATATTTGGCCCAGTGACTCCAGAAATGATGTTAATGAGGACCCTTAACACTACTGCTAGAGAAATCTCTATTTAAATCATGCTGTGGCAGTTCATGTGAAAAAGTAAATGGGACCTTCGCACGAACTGCACAGCATGTGAGTGTGAATCAACAGGCTATAATAAATTGGTTTGGTTTCCTTCTCCCAGACTTAGGCAAATGTATTATATTGTAGCATGTGAGATGTTATAATGAAGGTTAAGTCATTATTCCATTATTTTTAAAAAAGCCTGATTGTCTTCAAAAAAGGCCTGATGTTGAAAAATATTTCTTAGTTATAAAAAAAAGAGAATCTGTAGAGTAAATTTAATGAGGGATAAATCCCTATTAAAAATCCCTGTTTCTCTAAAACTTGATCTAGTAGATGTCAATAAGCTCTGGATGAGGAAACGTTTTGTAAAATAAAGGCCTATTTTTTCCAAAGGAAAGCAAACCTGAATGGGTTTCTAACAAAATTTTACATTCTGAGAGGAAGAAGCAATGATTTAAAAAGTGTCAAGGAATGTAGTATGTGACATCCTATGACACAATATATCCCAAAACTACTTAAAACCACACAACTTGAGCTACCAGAGAAAGGATTGAACTTAAAATGCTGATCAAAAAAAAGAAAAGAAAAAGGTAAGACGAGATCCAGATAATTTTTAACTTAGGGTAAAGTACTCACAAATAACAGAAGCTGATGCTGCCTGGATTGCCCTGGCTTGCCTCAGACTGAACGCAGCTCTTCTATAAAGCTGTTCACCAGCATATTTGAAGACACTTTACATTTGCTGTTCCTAGGGAGAGATGGGGAAACCGAGATGCAGAGAGCTGAGGTAGGCAGCATCCCTGAGATGGGGGACAGTGGTGGAGCCAGGATCTTATTGCACCCACTGACATGAGAGGCAGAATCCAGCAACAACATCCCCACCCCAGGTTGCCTACATAAAATATGGGTGATCCTGCAAGCTCTTCTCTGTTTGTAGACTCTTGGGCTTCAGTCTCCACCAAAGTGCAAAATCTTGTTTCCTAGTCTAGTGTCTGTTCGCAGTGAAGCATTCAAATTTTGTAAGAGAAACCCCAAAATCAAAAATACCCAACAGTCTGTGGGCATGTGAAAAAGAGATATAAGATGTAGTGCCTGTGTACGGGGCTGAACCCACTGCACTGGACTTGGTGACCCCAGATGTCACTTGCAGGCTTCTAACCCTATGAACTGTGATTTCATTCCAGAGATCATTGAAAAAGAAATGCAGCATTTCACAGATTTCATCTAGCACATTCAAAATGATCGTATCCTGACATTTCAACTGTTGAAAAGAGACAGAATTTACTACCTCACATGAAAAAGACCAGAAGGCTAAAATGCATAACAAAGTAAAGCCATGATATGAGACAGATGAAATTATTTAGATAAAATGAGACAAGGCTCAACCTTCATCTGAACTTCAAATTGAAACTGAATTAAACCTCTCATTGGCGGAAGATAAAAAGTTAGCCAATTTATTTGTCTTCCCGTTCTCCTTTTTACGTAAGAGAATGCTATTGAAGTGCTGGCTGAGATGTTGGGTAGAGCGGTTCCTGCTGCTGGTACAGCTTCCTGAGCCCGGCACTCAGCCTCTCTTGCCTCACTTCTCAGTCACAGTCTGCTGTTCCTCCTCCCTCTCTTTGCTGCCTGAGGCATGAACTTTTAACACAAAATTTAGAACAAGAACTACCTTTTATGATGTGATCACACAGTGCCTGCGGTCCTTCTTTCAGCCATTGTGTCCAATGTGTTGGCAGTACAAATGATCTTGATGAAAATATTTTCCCCTGCGCATCCCCTGGTGTCACCTAGACAGATAAATATTTTTGATTGAGATATAGTCTTTATGTGCTATCTCTTTGGTTTAACATTCTGAATATAACTCATTTGAATTTAAAAAGTACTACTAGAAGAGACAGAAACGTTGCATGCAATTTTGCCTGCGCTGAATGAACCCTGTGATATTGCCATGCCTTCATTCAAGAGTTAGAAGTAAGCAAAGGCATTGACTACATTTTAATCCGTAGTTCATGCTAAGAAATTATCATACTTCTATGAATCATTTCCTCCTATATTGTTACAATAATGCTTTGGACTTTTACATTAATCCTTTGGGTTATAAATGTCCCACAAAATATAATGGAAAATATTTTTATAGAAGAAAATGTTATACAACCCAGCATGATCTCACTCCACATCATTTGTTCTAGTGTTATTCAGAAATGTTAATTTCTCTATCTGGATTTCATAAATAGCTCAAACACCCCCAATTTAGCATAAAAATAACTTATTTTTGAGGGAAACTATCTTTTGGGTCCTTTAACTGCTGTTTCTAAATTGGCTATTTTGGTCCCATTTTCTGTTGCCATGTATGGCACAGAAAGGAGCTGGCAAACCACCGTAGTTATTCCTACAAGCATTCATTTGTGAGACAGTCTTTAGCCAAAACCAACAATCTTTAGCATAGCTCAGGCTATTAGAAAATTAAGAACTTGGAGACCTATCATTAATAGATTTCTTCAAAGGAAGAAAATACAAATTCAAGCTTCTCAGTCATTTGATTGGGGCTTAAGGGTTCTCTTCATCTTTCCTTTCCACTGCCAGGGTCCTATTTTATCTCCCACCTCTCAGGCTCTTAAGAAAACCCTTGCAGTCATACCTTCTCTTCTTACCTCATTCGACAAATACTGATCTGGTCAACAGATGTAAGAATTGGCACAATAACGTCGCAAAACATTCTGGTCACTAGATTCAGTATTGTTAAGCAAAGTTATTCATAGTGCAGGAGGGGAGCAAATCCAAGTAAATGCATAATAACTAACAGAACTTACACCTTTCCCAGGCTTTTCAGAGTAGAAAGAAGGAAAGAACAAGGTGAGCAAACTACCCAGCACTCTTAAGGGATGTTACAATATTACAATATATGTGATTACAATATCACATCTGTTGTATCCCACTTCTGTTCTCTCTTCCTGAATAAAATATATCCAAACAAGGAGACAGAATAAAGCCAGGTACAGAAACTGAGACTAGATTTTAGAAGAAATGAAGTGATATTTTGCACCCTCCCATCAGTATCTTTAGGAGTAAAACAAAATATGCAAGAAAACAAGTTTGAAAATCAGCCTGAATATCACAATAAAAAAAATCAGCACTTGAGGCATTGCTGAGACTGGGCAGATATGGTACAGAATAGCCATTCTACTTAGAATTTTGAACGAGCAAAAAGATAATCTAATAGTACTCATTACATACTCAAATGATGTAAATATACCAGTAAGTTTTATTTTTCAGAGTCCTATAAAAAAAAGCAAGAAATATTATTGAAGGCCAACTAGAATAAGTAGTTAAAAAACTAATGTTAAAGGGGAAAAAAAAGCAAAAGCATAAAGTATGAAAGAAAAAAACCACCTGATTTGAGGATCTTCCATAATTAGCACACCCAATGTAACACAGCGTTGTCTCTGTTTGCCTGTGAAGTATTTATATCCTTTGACAGTTTTTTGCAGTTGTGTTGAACAATTTTTGAATGTTACCACAATCCAAATACAAGAAGTTATTACAATAACAAAACATTATGAACCATTCTGTAATTATCTTCTAGCCTGCTAATTTTAACTGTGTTAATCATTCAAATGGTTTGCTACATTTCCACTCTTTATGCAACAGTATTTAAAAAAAATGTTCCCATCACCCTGGCAAGGTACACTACTGAGTTTGTGTCATCGTATCAGTCACTATATGGTTAAATACTAATTTGAAAACCTATCAAAAAATGACTGTAAATTGAGTAGGTCAGTCACAATCATTCATAGAAAGGCAGGAAATATGTTAAGGCAATATAGGTTTTTTTCTAACATTTAGGAAGAGAAGCATATAAATCACTGTGTCATGGCATCTAAAACATTACAAAGCCATCTCACCTGTAACAGCAGGCTGAAGGGCAATATTTATTGCTAATTCTAATTATTGTTATTATGGATATTCAACTTTGGTTGAATTTTTTTTTTGGTTTTATTTCCTTAGAACAACTCCCCCAAATTATTTAAATTACAAATTTCTGTTCTTATATAATAATTTCACCTTACTGCTATTATTAGGATGTCAGGTCTCATTCTTGGTCACTTCTTCAGTTTATAAGCAGTTATGGGCAAATTAGTCCGCACCTATTACAAGAGTTTTCCCAATCCAGTTGAAAAAGTACACTGAAATGGATTCAGTCTTTACTGTACAAACATTAGTGAGAATACCTTCATTTCAGTTTCTGCTACACTCTATGCTATATTTTCTTTAATTCTGATTTCTCAGCTGGACATTCAGTGATGTTGCTCTGAAGCTTCACTCATGAAAGAAGAAACAGGTTTTAACTTCAGGAGATCTAGCAGAACACTACAATACCCTGTAAAATTAGACCGCAGCATCCACAAAAGAAAAAGATAAGAGTTGATAAAGGAGAAAAAAAAAAGGCAGAAAAGGCAGACCAGAACAGGATACAAGTTGATCTAGTCTGCCAACATTGCAAGAAAAGTGAGTAAAAGAGAAATCAGAATGAAATATTGCCAAGCTTATCACAAAACGGTTGGGGTTGGAAGGCACTTCTGGAGATCATCTATTCCAACTTCCTGCTAAAAGCAAAATCAGTGAGAGCAGGTTGCTCAGGATCTTGTCCCGTTGAGTTTTGAATATCTCCAGGGACAGAGACTCCACCATCTCACCGTGCAACATATTCTAGTGCTTGATCACCCCTACAGTAAAAATGTTTTTTCTTACATTTTTCTTAATGGAACCTCTTGTGTTTCAATTTGTGCCCATTGCTTCTTGTCTTTTCAATGGATACCACAAAGAAGGGCTTGACTCTGTTTTGTTTACATCCTCCCTTTGGGTTTTTGTACACACTGATGAGATTCCCACCCTAAGCCTTCTCTTCTCCTCTTCTCCAGGCTCAACAGTCCCACCTCTCGGCCTCTTCTCACATGCCAGACAAGCCAGTCCCTTAATCACCTTCCTCTCCCTTTACTGGACTATCTATAAAGATTTCTTAGTCAAATACACTGTATTTATGAATATTACCTATAATTTATAAATATATTGCATACCTTTTAGAAACTGCCACACATTCCCTTTAGGGGTAATACTCTAGAGAATGCTATAATTAGATATGATTGCACAACATTAATTCAGTCCGTGTGGTATATCCATTATGATTTTTATCCTATTTTGGGAGGGAGGGGGCCACAACTGTTCACATCATCCCTGTGAGGCAAGGTAGCATGTCTACTGTTGTACAGACAGCCTCTGCCCTGAATTTTTAGAGAACTTTCCATTTAATTGCACTTTAAATGCCCCCACTGACTTTGGTTGCAGCTGCCAGTGCTCAGCACATTTGAAAATCCAGGCTTCTAGGGCTGCAGACTGGCTTGTCCAACACAATTAGCTTAATCATAAAGCACAATGTTTTTATCTAGTGAGATAACAGTTTGGAACAAGGGAAATTCCTATTCAGTGGAATCTTTATGGTTACAGCTCCCCCAAATAACTGTCCTTTCCACACTCCTTCATTTCTTAACCACTGTATGAGATATACAGCTTGTGGTAATGAAATATGAAATGCACGTATTTTACTGAGAAAATATCTCACTTGAAATGTGAGGTCTTCGGTTTGAAAATAAACATGATTCAGGGCTCAGCTGTGGAAGAGAATTTGCTGCTCCGGCAGCCAGGTCCCACTATCCTTGCTCAGTCAGCTCTTTCACACAGCATTAGCCCCATCTTACACTTTCCCTGTGACAAGTTTCCAGAAGTAAGTGTGAAAAGGCAGATCACTTTCCACTACCCACAGGAAATGAAATGACCCTTCTGTTGTCGGTTGGATGATACATGAGCTGTATCTCATGCAGAAGCCAAAGCTAGTACGGACTTGTTCTCATTAAACAAAGCTAAATATTGGAAGCACATTTAAACTGCAGTGTAGGAGCTGCATAGGCTCCGGCTGAATTTCCAGAATGAATTCTGTTGGCTTTAAGCTATTCAGCCTTAAGGCTGAAATGCTGGATGATGCCACTTCAGGCTTCACCTCAAATTCATAAAAAGTGAAGGGGGGGGTGAGGCTAAAGTAGCCATAAATATGCTTACTTCTTAATCTTGAGGCATCTCAGGGCTTTAATGGCCTAATGTAACATAACAGATCTAGAAAGCCTTATCCCATTTTCATGATGCCTTATCCCTTTCTGCCTGTTTGAAAGTCCCCACTGCCTCTGCCACGGGCTTTGCACACCCTGCCTCTGCGTGCCGGGCAAACTGCGGATCTCTCACACTTAGCAGCAGCCTGCTCATTTATCCCCATCTCCTGAAGAATGGTACAGGGGAGAGAAATCCACCCCATGAGACTCAGGACCTGTTGTTTGAGAGGCTGCATCTTTCCTTACTGTCACAGCTGAGATCCAGACCAACGTAATGCTTCCAACAAATCTTTCCAGAGAGGGGATGAGCGGAAGGGGAACGTGGTTTTCCTACTGCTCCATGGATGGGCTGCCTCAGGGAGAATTGCTCTGATTTCCCAGGCACATGGCAAAGGCCGTCCCCGTCCTCATCTGTGCACTCCCTGTGCTGCTTTGCTCAAGTTATGCCTAGGGATGGTATATTAATAGGTCGTGCTTCTGTGTATGTTTAATTTTTTAGGCTGATGACCCGAACACGATATGAGCACTGACAGACATTGTAATTGTATAAACTTGGGGGGGGGAATTAAATAATCATAACAAAACCAATTGTCAAGAATAATAAGATTTTCCTTTTAGTGAAATAA